GGGGGGGGGGGGGGGGGGGGGGGGGATGACCTCTGGGTGTTTAGCTGTTGCAGTCGGTAGTGTTGATTTTTGTTCGTGCCTGAATATTCCCCCAAGCGCACGCGTTTTTCGTGGCCCTTGTCGGCGTTACCCTCTCGATGGCTCCTTGTCCGCGTAGCCCTCCACGCGAGAGATTTATGGGTCGTCTTTTCTTTGCGACAGGACTAGGGCGACCGATGCTGCGGTCTGTGGAGGGTGTTGCTGGACCGTTACACCCGATTGTACCTCTTTACGTCGGCAGCCTCTGTTTCATCCCCCCAACTTTCACAACCCATAAGATGGTCGCAAGGCAACCCCAGGCTCGTTCTGTTCGGAAAGAAAAACCCGCCGATGGGCTCGCTGACACGCTTTCCGTGTGCCTTCGTTTTCTGCCCACCTGTCTCCGCCCCCTGCCCCTGTGTTCAATGTTTTTTACACCTAGGTCTTTGAGTTTGTTGATACCGATCTGTACAAGCTCATCGGATCGCCGCAGTTCCTGACTGACGAGCACGTCAAGCTTTTCCTGTACCAGATGCTCATCGGCCTGAAGTATGTCCACAGCGCGCACGTCATCCATCGTGATATCAAGGTAAGGAGACGCGGAAAACGGTAGGGATTTAGCCGCGCTTTTCTGTTGACACTCCGTACAGCTCATTGGCCAACCACACCACACGGTTCCAGGTCATACCGTAGCTACCGTTTTTAGGAAGCACGTTCTCCGTCCCATATCTTTTCAAACAGACCATGCCATGCATTTAGTTTCACTTAATACCGTGTTTTCCATGTACACACAGCACGACGTGTTTCGGCTGCTGTTGCGCAACACCCTGTCTTACCATGTCGTAGCATTACCTACACAGCGGAAACTCTTGTAGCGTAGCACGACCGACTTCCAAGCTGGTGTATGTTGTGAGCACCTACCTCACCTACTGCATTGTCCCCCGCTGCTGCTGCCGCCGCCGCCGCCGCCGCCGCCGCCGCTCGCTGCTGATGCTGCTGCTAAACAACGTGTAATTCTGACACAAATTCCTCACTGCTGAATCGAATCTTGTTGGTGTTGCACCCCCCCCCCCCCCCCCCCAAAATTTCGTATCAGCCCGCGAATGTTCTGCTCAACGAGGACTGCACGTTGAAGGTCTGCGACTTCGGTCTCTCTCGAGTGGTCACACAAGAGCCCTCCACCGACCCAAATCCTCCTGCAGCTAGCGTTGTCGTGTCCGCCAAGTCCGGGAAGGTGAGCCCTTTAAGTGCCGCTGGGGGTCGTCATGTTTTTCGTCCCATTGTGGGTTTGATCCCCATGTGATTTCGCGGCAGGGTTTCGACCTGGCGATGGGGTGGGACTCTGCGGTTTTCCCTTGCGTCTGTGCATTTTGTTTTTACCACTCTGTAGGGGTTAGTGTTCGGGGTAGCTTGTGAGTGGCTTCGCCCATTAGTCTGTCTTGCCATTGGTGCACTTCCACCGTCGGAGACGCCCTCTGTTTTTCGTGTGTGCCGCACGGGGGAGGAAGCGCAGTAGCACGCGAGATTTTGGGTGGCGATTACGTATCTGCGTGTCCGTGTATGTTGCCGTTTGTTCCCCACACTCCTCCCTCGGCGCGCCGCTGCCGTGAAAACCCACTCGTCTCTTCTCTCCTCTCCCCCTCCTTACGTCGTCGCTTGAACCGCGGATTTTTTTTGTCGGCCACAGCTCGCTTGCTCGCCGATGAAGCCTTCCGCCGCGATAGCCGCGGCCACGTCTCACGCAGCAGCGCGGGGGGGAGAGGGCGGCGGTGCCGGGAGCGAGGACGACCCCCCTCCGGAGCCACGGAGAATACTCAAGCGACAGCTGACGAAGCACGTGGTCACTCGCTGGTATCGGGCCCCAGAGCTGATCCTACTTCAGGTGTGCCTGCTATACGTGGGTAGTCGTTTTTAGTCCCGTGGGAGGGGTTGAGGCTTCGTGAGGATGTTGCTGTGCGCAATGAGTAGAGTGCATCCTGGGCTGTGTTTGCCGGCGCACGCAGCAGTGGATTCATCGGGGTCTGTCGGCCGCAGGTGATGTGCACAAGGTGTAGTCACACACACCGATTTTGTTTCCTTCTCTCGACCTTCGCGGTAAGGTAGGCAGGGGGTGGAACGGACGGGCCCATGGGGCGAAAGAGGCAGCCGGTACCAGCACCACCTGCGGCAGAACCTCGTTGAAGCTCTGAAGTGTTTCCCCGCCAGCCGCTTGATCGTATTCTCTCTCCCTCTCTCTCTCTCCCCCCCCCCTCTCTATCTCCCTGGATCTCTATGTTGCCCTGTCTGTCCCTCTCCCCCACTCTCTCTTCTGACAACCCTGCCAAAAAAAGGACTACAACAACGCCGTCGACATGTGGTCTCTCGGGTGCATCCTGGCCGAGCTCCTGAGCATGCAGAAGGAGAGCTTCCCAACGTCGCAGGAGCGCAACGCGCTCTTCCCGGGCAAGAGCTGCTTCCCTCTCAGCGCGGAGAAGCCCTCCTCCTACTCTGACGCGCTGGACCAGCTGAACGTGATCTTCGACGTCATCGGGACGCCTTCGCGGGAAGACATCCAGGACTTGGTGAGTGGCTTCGGGCTCGACCCTCCGATTCTCCCCCGTCTCCTGCTCAATCGCAAACCTTGTTAGACTCGCATGTCCGGCTCGCCCTCGCGTCCCGTGGACCCCCCACCGTCTGTTGCTATTCAGTGTTAGTAGAGCGAGCTTGTTTGCTCAGTGCCATGCAAGCACGCCCATCAGCGTTTGACCCCCGGCGCCGCTCCCGTGTTTTGATGCGGTTTGTTTTCCAGGGCGAAGTTCGGCAATACCTGGCCAGACTCGCGTACAAGCCCCCCCTAGACCTGCGGCACAAGTACGCCGGGGCTTCCCGGCTGGCGCTGGACCTTCTCTCGCGCATGCTGCGGTTCGACCCCTCGCGAAGAATAACGATCGACGAGGCGCTAGAGCACCCGTACCTGGCGTCTTGCCGCAAGCCCGAGAAGGAGGTGAGAGAGGCAGAGACAAGAACAACAACAAAAAAAACACTCAAGGTGCCGGTTTTTGCGAGCTAATATATATAGCGCTGGTGGCGAAAGTCACCCCCAGGTTAGTTGCCCTGTCTTTTTTTTCAATAATAACGTTGTTTGAAAGGCAGATGGGACGAATTCCACTTGGTCTTGTGAAATGGATGGGAAGTTGACCCAAATGAAGTGGACCCCGGTGGCTAAGGAAGAAATTAGTCGTAGACGGACGGTGTTTGTGCGAATGCGCATAACAGAACATGTGCAAACGACTGCGGGGCAAGCGAAACGCTGTTGATCTGCTCCTTTCAGTTGATGGGGTCAAGTCTAGACTGTGCTATGGCTGTTGGCGGCTCCGTGCAAACACCGCTGCCGGCATTTTTGGAACGCGCTGTTTGGGGAGTAGGGTGTCGTCGGGGGAATCGTTGAGGAGTGCCCTTCCGAAAAGAAGACACAACCTTTGTTGTGATTTTCAGATGAAAGGTTAAAAGCACGTTCCTGTCTTCTTCTTTCATTTTGTCTTGCTGCTGATTGGGGGTTGTTCGAATGACTGCGGCGCGTACCGATATCGAACATATCTTTCGTGCGGCACTCCCTAGTCAGTGAAGACAGCAGTGATTCTGGCCAAAAGTGTGCCAGCTGGCTACACAGCTGACTGGACTGCCTGTTGCCAATAATTTGTTCGTCGTGGTCGGCGTCTCGTGTGGTAGACAGACCACTCCATAACCGTATATCCCTTGTAGTACCATAGCTTGCTATCGATCGATTGTGCCCCACCAGCCTTCCGAAATGAGCGTGTTTGCATGTTTTCCCGGCGCCGTCCTTTGACCCCTCTCGTGAGTTCTGCGCCTCGTACTCTCGTGACGCTGCTTTCTTGTGACTGTGCCGCGCCGCCGCTCCCCCCTAATGCCTTGCTTCTTGGATAACGCCTCCTCGCTCGGAAGGTTACGGCGAGAGTGCCCATCACCATGGAGTTCGAGCATAACACCACAGACAAGGCTACCTTGAAGCGTGAGTGGTCGCGACAGACGTCACTGTTGCCGCTATTTTCTGGTGCTGATTGTGTTCTGCCTACCAGAGTGCCTCTCTGTTATATTTGGTTCGAATCGAGAGAGCAACACCTTGGAGCACTTCTCTGTATGCCCCCCGTGTGGTGTGTGGTGCATCGGAGGGCCTGCCCCTCAAACAGCAGGAGCCTGTACACGCAGTGCGATCGTGAAGAGTTTGCGAAAGACCGGCCCACAACGCGCCACAGATAGCCATGACGGGTATCAAACGTAAGCGTCAGGAAAGACGAAGAGTGAACCGAGATCAGACCACGTCGGTCGAGCAATGCCGCCCTACGGGAGAGACGTTGATAGTTTAGGCACTCAAACCGCCTTAGGGCAAGCGCAGAAGGCAGTATCTGCCTGCAGCATAGGGCATTCGCGGGGTTGGCGACCGCCGAGTGCTTCGCTCGTTGCGTGCGTGCCCTCTTTGTCCACCACCGTGGTTGTTTCGATTCCGCCAAGGCGGGGTGTGCTTTGCCCTCCGAACTTTTCCATCGATCAAGGCAGATTCTGCACATGCCGACGTGCAAGACCTTGCAAATCGCATCCGACCCTTTTACTCTCGGCGGCGACGTTTGAATACCGGCCCCGTCGCGACACGGCCGTGCGTACATGCGGCCTTGACCACTCGCCGCCGTTCGTCGTCGACGGCAACAATCCCAGCCGCCACCTCCCAGCACGCCTCTCAACCTTTCCTTTCTCTCGCCTCCAGGCCTGATCTACGAAGAAGTGCTGCACTACCATCCGGAGGAGGCGGCTCGTCTCCGGCTCGCTTCCGCCGCTACTCCTGTCGCCTCGGCCTCGGCCACGGCCGCCGCCCCCGGTAAGGGCACCGCTGCCGCGGCTGCTGCTCCTGCTGCTGCTCCTGCCGCAACCATGCCGTCGTCCTCTTCGTCGAAACGGTCGAGGGATGATGTTGCCGAAGGCGGCTCCGCCGCTTTTCACGGTTCCGCTACGGTCAAGAAGCGCCCAGGGGGCGCCATGATCGACCACCAAGAGCGCGGGCAAAAGCGCCAACGGCTCGGGGGGACAGGGGCTCGGCCTCCAGAGCCGGGTGCGGCCGGGGCGGCGGCAGCGACCGCTTCCTCTGCACTCGGCCACCACCACGTCCATGCCGCCGCCGCCGCAGCCGCCGCCGTTGTCGCTGCTGCAACCGGGCCGGAGCTGGCGCCGGGGGCGGGAGAGAGCGACGAAGATGGCCATTACGAAGACGACGGCCTCGCCGGCGGCGGCGGCGGCGGCGACGGCGGCGGCACAATGCGATCGAGGCAAGTCCGCGATGCCGGGGATGAGTTGCCACCCGTCCCCGCCGGCGGCGGCGCGTTTCCTGCTTCACGTCCTAGTGCTGTTGGCGCTTCCGGCGCGCCGAGAGGCGGGGAGGACGGCTACGATCGTCCCAGCGAGCGACCGAGGGGGGTTCATGGTGATATGCCGCCAGTGGAAACCCTGCCATGTCTCGGCAGCGAATGAGCCCCCTCTTTTTTTTTTTTTTTTTTTTTAGTTTCGGCGAATCAGGGAGGGAGGGGGGCGATCGTGCTCTGCTTTGCGAACAGCAAACAGCCCAAAGAACGAGGAAGTTGTTGTCATGGTGAAGCACGCGTCGCCTTGGTTTGTTTCACCGCCCCCTTGGAGAGGGTGGTGGAACAGCAAGTCTTGCGAGCGGCCAGTCAGTCTCGGGCGCGACGACGAGAGGTGTTTGGTAATACGCGAGTTTCTTCGGACTCAAGAGAAGCACTCCTCGCCAGCAAGCAGCGCACCCCGAGAAAATGTAAGCGCCAAGGGTTTGAAGCGGTTTCAGAACGGCTTTGTTGTCCTCAGGCGCGTCGCTGCTCTTTGGTGCCAGACGGGTGTATTGCTGGATACACTACACCTCCCGATACCATGTGACGGCGAGCAGGGCGGCAACGAATGGTTCGGTTCGGCGTCCGTAGGGCTAGGGGGAACAAGTCGCAGTGGCCGCATGCAGCCGTGTTTGTCGTTTTCGGAAAAATTATCAGTCAGTGAGTTTTGGGGGTTGGGAGGGAGCGGGAGGGAAAACGTAAATGTGCACATGATGTTGTTGACTATGTAGCGTTTGGAGACTACACTAAACGCTACTAAGGTGTTTGCCAAGACCATCGCCACACCGAGTGATATTTCTTGTTGTGTTTTGGGACCGTGGCCACGACGACGACGTTGTTGTTCCTTCCTTCTGCGCCCACGTTTTTTCCGGCCCTCTTGTCGTTTCATGGCATTGTCTTGGTGAGTTTTTTCTTTCCGTTTCATATCGTTCTTGAGACATGCATGGTTTTGTTACTGTTCTTGTTGCTGTGGTGGTCGTGTTTGTTGCTCCTGCTGTTCTTGTTGTCGGTTTTTATTCCTTGTGTCCTCTTGTTCTACGCGGGTTTTTTTATCACGGTCGGTTCTCTTGTGGCTCGTGGCATGGCCTGCTTCTCCTCTCATCCGTGGTTGAGCCATGACCCGAACTTGTGTGTCTCTTTGCCACTCAAGTTTTGTAGCCAACCCCCCCTGCGTGTCTATGTGTGTGCGCATCACCCTCATGCCGCAAGAGGTAGAAGTCGCGCTGAGGATGCGGCAACGAACCCTTCGTAAGTTTGGGTCCATTCGAGAGTGGATGTTCCATCCGTGTGTTTTTAACATTTTCGCGGCGAGAATGCGAGGCAGAAAGAAGGAGACAGAGAGAAAGAGAGAGAGGGGAAGGGAGGGAGTACACGAGGGGAAGCGGGACGCGCGGCTCACATAGCGACTAGAACAACCGATATGACTGTCACGGCGATTATGCGCCCGCTAGGTGCACTACGCACGACCTGCGACGTTTGGTGTGCGTTTTTTCTTCCTCGTTTTAGGAACACAGGAAAGACGAAGCAGGCACTTCCGTACGATGTTACAGCGACAGAAAGGTTATAGAGTTGCTTTCGGTTGTTTGTGTGAACGTGCTTTTTTTTTGTTGGCGTTGCAGCCGTGGAAAGGACTCATGACTCGACTAAAGGGAAACACGGTTTTCTAGGGCATAATGTTGCTTTCCACAGTACTCCCGGGGGGGGGGGGGAGAAAAGCACCTATCCTCGCTGTAGTACCGTACAGCTGCCGGAATTTTACCCCAGAAAAGGCGTGTATC